ATATCAATAGCCTTATTTTTAACTTTCTTTCTTGACTTTTTTGAATCAAAATCTTGATATGTATTCAGATATTCCACTATAGATATACTTAAACTTGTATCTCCTTCGTTGTTTTTAGAATTAATTTGAATGTCATCGATATCCTGTTGATCATTTATGCAATTATTCATGCTTTCTGTGCTTTTCTGTCTATTCTTTTCTGAATCAGAAGAGCCAGCTTCTGATGTTGTTTCCTGACTTTTCTTCCTCGTCTAATAGAAAATTTATCTTTATTGCGTTTACGTTTCGCAATTTAAGATTCATAATCTTATTATTTTAATTTTACTAACCTTGTTGCTTTCCGAATTCTTATGTTCTTCGCCAATCAAAGCTTTAGAATGTGTGTCAGTTCCTGCAGCCATTTATTTAAATTTACCTTCCTCTGTGCTAGCTGTTGATTTCTTATGACTTGTTACTTTTTCCTTCAAATTTGTTTTTTGTAATAGACAAAGATTGTGTTTTAGTAGATTATTTAATTACCAATTATAATAACAACTGTTTACACTGCAAATTTTATCCTGAGAATTATCCTAAGTTGTTTCAGATTTTCCAATCCTAGAGAAGACTGAGTAAGTAATATCTAGATAAATTGCGATAAAACATTGTGGATAAGATATTTGAATGTTATACACAGGATGTTCGGTAAGTTTCAATAAAGCACTAATGTGTAGATCGGGCGGACTAAGTTGAATCAAAAAGTCCTCTATTATTTTGTAATTTTCATAATTGTTTTTTTATTTTTATTTACCTTATGAGCATGTCTAAAATGATGTATAAAACAACTTTAAAATATCTTTAAGAAATAAAAGAGTTCTTTGAGAAATATCTTTATAAAGAATTCTCTGAAAGTAATCTTAAAGTTGTTTATTGCATCGATTTTAAGCACTTATTTGACAATTTTCAAAATATTTCGTGCACTATTGCGAAAATTGCAAAAAAGGAGAGAATTTTTCGACTCAGTTCCAGCATATGAGCGTTACGTCAAAAGTTATCACTTTATATGATCTGTAAGAATCTGAATTAGTATTATCGATTACTATCGATAATACTAATAAACAAGTTTAAAGTAAACAATCAAAAATAAGAGATAGAATTAATATACACTACGCAAAAAAAATTAAAAGATCACTTAATCCATCCTCAAAAATAGGTAAATATTTAAAAGAGTGTAACTTCGTTAAAATGATTATAACAAGATTAAAAAAAAAAACATTTTAAAGCTTGAAATATCTATTTTTAAGGTCAGTAATTGATATTTCGATATGACTGATTTTTACAAAGCTATACAAATAGAAATGGACCTCAGTCACGTCTGAAAATTTTATACAAATTTTACAAGGGTCTGTGGCATGAACTAAAAATCACACTAAAATGAGGTTTACAAAAATAATCCCTTTTACTTCAATGTGTTAAATAACTCGGTGAAAAAAAATTGTACAACGTTCAATAAAAAAGCAAATTGAAGTTAAAGATTCACTCTTTCAGCTGCTGTAATTGCATTTGAGTGCGATTTTTAGTTCATGTCACAGACTCTTGTGAAATTTGTATAAATTTTTACCGATTTTGAAAGCAGAGATTTCAAACTTTAAAATGCTTTTCTAAAAATCTTCGGTGTGCACGGATGCCACGGATAAAATAAATTTTTTTCTGCAAATTTTTTTAATTCTATTGCTAACTTTTTAATTCTACAGCTTAACATTTTCTACTTAAAATTATTTCTTAATCATTACGCTACAATTTTTATCACTGAAGTGAGATTTGCAAGTCTTTCGCTAAAAACGATTTAAATCATTTAAAAAATAATTTAAAAGAGCAATACGATTCTCGCTTAGAAATTGTCGCATGACGTTTGTGGTGAGAACATGCATTATCGTGCATTAAGATAAGTCTGTTTCTTATCTGATTTCTAAGAAAAAATATTGCGGTTTTATCCTCTAATGAGTCCTGATCTCAATCCAACAAATAAAACATATGATGGTCAATTACGACGGAATTACTCGTAATTAGAAAATTTGGGACAGTTAGCGGAAGCGTTCCGCCAAATTTGGCGTACTATTCCACAGTTCGCAATAGATGTATTAATACAAAATAGACGTTTGTAGGACGTTATTCAAAATAGAGGTAATACCAGATTTTAGCCTGAATATATACTAATCTATTAGTTTTAGGTTAACGAAAATGCATATGTACACATACGCACGCACACACGCACGCACGAGATGTAAGTCCGACCGCGTAACCTCCCCGTGGTATACTTTAAATGAATATTAATACCGGCGGCAACATTAGGTACAAGTTTTTAGAGAAAGACCTGAAAATTTATTATTTATTCAAATTGTTACACTTCAGTGAAAAAAGTTGTAGCGTAATGATTAAGAAATTATTTTAAGTAGAAAATGTTAAGCTGCACGATACAATTAAAAAAGCTTGCAAAAAAAATTTGTTTCATCCGTGCACACTAAAGTTTATTTTTCAATTCTACAAGGTTCAATTTATATTAACGTTTTAAAAAAAGATAAAAAAAAGTGCCAAGTGTGCATGCTTCTTTCAGAAAGAGCCATTACATAAATTATTACACGCGCTTGTATGTGCACTCCTTGAAGAAAAAAATGACTTCCTATTCCAAACCTATTCCAAATCTATTTTCCAAATTTTTTTTAGAAAGTAAATCACACAGCAGATTGATGACAGAAATCGATCGAGCAGTATATGCGCGCACAGTACAACCTGACAACAGACTGACGACAGAAATCGAGCAGGAGTTGCAAATTCTCGGTATCTACTACCGATCTGATAATATAGCATGTTAGCAGGCTTTAAATATCAGTTTAATGACGTCGTCATATTACTCTATGTGAAATATGTGTATGTTGCCTTTCTACAATTAGAAATTGATATAACATCCTCCGTTCAAAATCTATTTCTGCAGACTTGACTATTTGAATTGATATACATATAAAAATTCGCTTAGAAATGTAATAATTTTAAGTTTTAATATTAATTGTTACAATTGTTAACTTATTATTATTATTATTATTATTATTATTTATAATATTTTACTTTAACACAAACTTACTTACTACAAACAAGTAACAAATCGTTACCTAAGTAATGGTAACAACGTATTACTTTTTAAAATTAGTAACAAGTAAATAATGTTATTTTTTTAAAAAAGTAATGATAATACGTATTTTTTATAAAGTAATATTCCCAATCCTGATGTAAATATAATAATAAATTGATTTACCGGAGTCTGTTCTTTCAATCAAAATAAATATACAATACAATAAAAACGGATGCAAAATATTTTACTTGTATCACTTAAAAAACATCACCTTTATAAAAATTTTTCACCGTTTTTAGTCCGTTTTTAACCTGCGCGAAAGGTTAATTTGAGTTGTGAAAATGTGCATTTCACTCAATGAGTATGATTCCATTTTTAAATAGCAAACAGAAACTTTTCCGCAAAAATGAGTGGTTAAAATGGATTACACTCGTGTAGCACACGAGTATATCCGAGTGGTAAAAATTTACATTATGAGTATTTCTGAGTGATGAAACACGTTCTGTGTAAATTTGAGAAAACGTATTTACGAGTGCGAAATACTCGTCACTTACATCGCACATTTCTACCACTCCGAGGTGGTGGTTTACTAATCGAGACCTGATCTCCAAAAATCTCTAATACGAGGCTGCCTATTAGATATTCTGCCATTGAGCCACAACTGTTATGTCGATATTCGCTTACTTATGTATCTCTTACACAAAAGGTTATAATTATTATATAGAATTATATTCAATACATTGTATATGAGTTCAGTATACATGTATGTAATGTTATATGTCCAGATATATATAAACACACACACACACACACACACACACACACACACACACACACATACACGCACGCACGCACACACGCACACGCACACAAAATACATATATATGTATATGTATACACACAATAAGTGATGATATTATAGAGTAAATCCGATATATATTATATGTCGTATTTATAGAAAACTTAATTTTTCAAGTATTGTTTATTACGTTTAAGGTAAAATACTACATCAATAAAAATGTTACACTCTGCTAAAAAATCATTAGAAATACGAAATATTTAATTGTCACATAAATTAAATATTAAAAGAGCAATTTTTTTAAATCCTTACAGTTTTATCTTGACCTGCAAGGATCTCAGACTGTACGGCTCATAAAAGATTTATAAATAATGATTAAAAATAAAAAGCAAAATGACGGATTAACTTATAAAATGTGTTTATATAGAGTTTCATTAAGGAATAAGAATAATAAATACATAATATATAGGAAGTAATATTATTAATATTTCTAATCTTACATATATTACAAGAGTTATGATATGAGGAGGTAAAACAATATGTTTTATGTAATGCATTGAATTTAATGTACTTAGTCCAATATATATTTTTTATGCATTTTTAGTATAAAGCCCATCCGCAAAAAATCTTTACAGCGCACACATTCAGTAGAAGTAATGCTTTTAGTATTTTATATATAATATCATCTTCAATTACAAAAATGTCTTTAAAAATGCTTTAAGAATCGCCAATATTTTGCTGATTTTCATTTGTGCAATTATTGCTTTCTGAGCTTATTTGTCGCATGTTTTCTGTATCGAATGTAACTTCTGATAACTTTCCCGACTTTTGTTTTTTTCTTTTTTTGTCTAATAAAAAATTGTTTATTTATTGCATTTGTTTTTCACAATTTAATGTTTATAAACTCATTTTTTATTACACTAACCTTGTGCTTTTCGAACTTTCATGTTCTTTGCCGGTCAAAGCTGTAGAAAATACTTTAGCTTCTGCGTCCATTTGATTGAATTTATCCTGTTTCTCCTGTGCTGTTGTTTTTTTATGTTTTTTTCCTTTTCCTTTAAATTTTTTTAATACTTGGCGTAGCATTTGGTAAAAATTGTGTTTCAATTTTTAATGGCTTAATTACCAATTATTATAACTACCACAGCACACTTTATCTCGAAAAAATCCTAAGTTGTTTTAGATTTCCAAATGCAATCCGAAAGACTACTGAGTAAGTTTAGGATATTCCATTAAAATATCATAAGATCTGAGTTTATATAAGATCGATATGATATCGCTTCCTACGTAGTAGTAATAACAACAACAAAGGAAAGATATAAGAATCGATAAGGTTTGTACAAAATGTAATTTTCTGTCATAATATATCGTCTTACTTTTTATTTTTAAATAAAAATATTAAATATTTATTATCGTTTTTCTATTTATTTTTTGGTGACAACGAATTCACAATCGTTGATATATTATACATTTTTACATACCAAAGTGATAAACGATATGCGATATCTGCAATTTCTTTGAAGTTGAACTTTGTAATTATGATTCAGCACTTTAGATAAAATCGCTATATTATTTATAATTTGTGTATCAGACATATAATTACTTATGAATAAAATGTAATTAATAATTAATTCCTACCGTATCTCTCGTTTGATGCCATTGCCATTATAACAACGAAAATTTCGCGAGGATATAAAATTGTAAAAATGTTTCACATTTTAAATTTTTGCGGTATCTCAAACCACACGATTCACTTGATTTAATGAACCTTCTCGACTATAAAAAGGTGGAAAATATAAAAATCAATATCTTCCAAGTAAATTATCAAAATTCGCAAGCATCGTAATGATCGAAAATAATGATTCACACGCGATATGTATTATAAATAATGCCCGACAAAAGATTCATTACTTTCGTCAAGGCATACCATTCGGCCAATTTATTGAATCTATTGAAAGTTAAATAAAAAAATAAGTGAATAAAAAATATATATTTGAAAAGAGATTTGAAACAGAAATTCTTTGCAATTTGTTAAGCGATATTTAAAAATATTCTTCAAGAAATAATCTAACACTCGATTCCTCAAAGGAATGAATTTCTTCTCTGACGAAAATAAAGATTGGAGGTACTCTGTGCGAAAATGAGTAATAATCGAAGAAAATCGTTCGCATCACGATAGTCATTCTGGAGACATGGTAGTGTCTAAACATTAAGACAAGCACAGCTAATAATAAGACAGACGCGAGACGCTGCCGTGTTCCTTTAAGCCTCATCTATGTATAATAGTCGCACAGGCAGTCAATGTTGTAGGGATACTGTTTCTAGTTGTATGGTTGTCGACGATTAGAAACAGTATTCCTGCGACATTAGCTGCATTTAGCGGACTCAACAATTGTAAATAAGCGTTCCCTATTATTGATGGATGCCTTTCAACAGGAAACACACATGACACGGTGTGGCACGGTGCATCATTACATCCTTGTTGTTCAGGGAATGGAAGTAACTTATTATTTGTGTAATGAAGTTACAGTTACAAGTTACTTTTTTGGTAACTTTACTGGTAACTGCGTTACTTTTTTCTTTAGTAACTCTAACAGTTACATTCTTTTGCTAACGGTAACAAATTTTACAGATTCTTTTATTGTTACTTTATTGTTTGCACACAATTAAACACAAGCTACTCACACTGTAAACAAATTTTGTAAACTTACACATATAGTAGATGTAAAAATTATATGATTAGTCCTATAAATATAAAAAATGTGGAAGGATCCCATTTGCCTACAATCCCGATTGCACATACCACTCGTATCATCTGGTGCCTAGTAATTTTCACTACTTCACTAATGATAATATTTTATTTTTAAATTGGTCAATTAGCAATGCATATATGCAACATGCGATGTGTGCAATCGGAGCTTTCCCTAAAAAAATCATGCAATTTTAAAGGAATTATGTATTAATTCTACAAAAATTATATAAATTTACTTTTATTGTGTAAATATATCTTATTTTATATGGAAAATTACGTAAATAGCAGGATATCTTAAATATTTTCTGTAATTATTCAAATTTTAATAATATTACGTAATATAACAGTAATTCTTTTGCATATTGCTATTAAATGTATAATAATATATAGTGCAAAATGTAATTGTCATATTATCATTCCTATAACTACATATACACATTGTAATTGTACTTCCACAATCTGCTTAGTTACAAATCAAGAAATTATTTTTATTTGTAAATTTACAAACAAATCTCGTACAAATAGCGCGAAAGTTAGTGAGTAATAAAACGATAAAAATATATAAATAATAGTAAGCCTAAATACAAAAACATTTTGTATCATTATTATCTTTAATTGAGAATATTCTTAATGGTAGAATTGCATTAATACTTTCATTTTTATCACATGAATCTAATACTTTCATGTAAATAATTATGGGATGCCATTTTTATCTTACAGTAGAACGTTTTTTATTCCCTACCTAAACCAAGAGAATTGAAATTCGTCGACGAAAGGACTATCGCCCGATTCATATTGGCTTAATGGAAGGTCATATGGGATCGGAAATACTGGAACGTCTGTATCTTCTTCGCTTTCAATAGGAAATGTTGTTGTCCCAGTCTAAATGCAAACGAGTTTAAATTGTAATAATTAATATTAATCGACTAAAACACATGTCTTAAACATATCTCCATAATATACATTCTTTAATAGCGTTGATATGTCAGAAATTACTAAATAATAATATAGTACTTACGATAAATTTTGGTATGAATACGACGCCGGCTTCGTAGTTCCCTATACTATATTGTTGTTTGCTTGATCCCCATGCAGCTTTGCTCAGATTTGCGCTGGTGAGTAAAAACCAGGGAATTTTTTTCGAATCGGGAGAAATCCGTGTGTAGGATTTAATATTAGGCATCGCACGATCTCGTCCTGTTCGCTTAGCTTTCCATTGACTATAAAAATTAAGAAACAAATGTAAAAATCTAGCTGTAGAAAAAACAGATTACTTCTAAAATGTAAAAATATAAGCGTAAATATTTAAATAAAATAAAAATAAACAATTATAACTTACTATAAATATGATTCTAGCCACTGTTGTTTAGAATGTGTTTCTGCACTGTACGTCAAGGGAGTAATTAAACGTTGACTATCAAAGCTTTGCTTATAATTCTCTATTGACGGATAAATAAACTGAAAATGTGGGTGATTCTCTGAATCTTTAGAAGTTTCCTTTGACATACATGAAATTATGTCTTTCAACCAACTTTCGAACAAACCAAAGCAGCCTACGCCAGAACTTTGTGCGACTATAGGCCACTGTGCATCTGGCGGCAGCGTGGCATAGAGCGATAGAACGTGTGCCAATTTCCTGTATCCCCAAAAATCGGCTTCGTCAGCTATGTGAATTCCGGGAACAGAAGCGACAAGAAACACATTTACACCAGAAAAATCCGCCATCTGCACTGCACGTATCCACTGCGTCAAAGCCGGTTGTTCATATTTACTCAGATATCGCTCAAGATCCTTTTTAAAACCCGTTGGCGATTCCCCATCATCAGGATTTGCGGATTCTGGCAGGCTGGGCAGATGAGGCGAGATCCATAATCTAATCAGGACATAATAAAAAGATGTTTATAGACAAAGATTATACGACTAACAACAAGAAATATCTATGCATATTTAACGAACCCTTGTGTTCTATTTTTCCAATCGTCAGAATATAAGGCAGCAGTAGAGACAATCACCCTAATCCCATTTCTATATTGCAGGATTATGATGTTCGTATGATGACTTGAGAATTTCTGTTGCCCATCTACCTTTATCATAGTAATGTTTTTACTTAATTCCTCACGACACAGACATATTCTATGTTTGTACAGAATTGTCATGTCGGTACGTTGACCAGCCAACAGATACTGCAAATATAACCACCCGACATCTACGGTAAAAGTTAAATGAAGACTGTTAACAATTTCTCCAAGACTACGGTCGAGAATCTCAGAGAAAGTTATGGAGAATTGTTGATTATAAGTCTTTCTGGAATTTTTGACTCTTGTGAAAAATAAATGGTAAGGAGCTGAAGAAGCATGTTTCATCGCAAACCTTCCTGGTTTCACAACCATTACTGCATACCCATTTTGTCTCATTATCTGAATAGCCATTTTTCTAGCTTTCTTCCTTAACTTTTTGGAATCAAAAATTTGATACGTATGCATAAAATATTCCATTCTAAATGTTATTGAATTTGAATCTTCTTTACTACTTTTTAAACTCCTTCGAGAATCGCTGATATTTTGTTGACTATTGTTTGTGAAATCATTGCTTTCTGTACTCATCTGTCTCGTTTTTTCTGTATCGGAAGTGCTATCTTCTGATTCGTCCCGACTTTTCTTTCTTGTCTAATAAAAAAGTGTATATTTATTGTATTTATTTTTCACAATTTAAAGTTCATAAACTCATTCTTCATTACACTAACCTTGTCACGTTCCAAACTCTCATGTTCTTCGCCAGTCAAAACTGTAGAAAGTGCCTGAGCTCCTTCGTCCATTTGCTTAAATTTATCTTGTTTCTCCTGTCCTACTGATTTTTATGTTTTTTTATTTTTCCTTCAAATCTCCTTTAGTACTTAACGTAGCAGTTGAATAAAAATTGTGTTTTAGTGAATTAACTACCAATTATTATGACTATCACAGCACAATTTATCTCGAAAGAATTCTAAGTTGTTCCACATTTATAAATGCGGTCTGAAAGACGACTGAGTAAATAATATCTAGGATATTCCAATAAAATATCATGAGATATCTATGTATATATAGAATCTACGTGATATCGCTTACCACGTAGTAATAACGTAATTACGTAGTAATGATAATAACAAAGGAAAGATATAAGAATTGATAAGGTTTACACAAAGCGTTATCATTTTCTATCATAGTCGTCTTACTTTTTATATTTAGATAAAAATATTATCGTTTTCTATCGTTTTTTATTTATTTTTTGGTAAAAACAAATTCGCAATCGTTGATATATGTGTATAAGATAAAATATTTTTGTAGTAATTTATTATTCTCTATCTTCTTATTAGAATTTCTCGAGAATAAATAATTGAAAATTTATCGTAATCAACAGTCATTATTCACAATAAACAGAAAGCTCACAGTATACTGTTATACAATTATGAAAAGAAATACATTATTATTAATCTGCGATACATCAACGATAGACTCTTTTAAGTACTTTTTAAAGAAAATATTTCGCGATCTATTATCTATTTAGTATAAAATTACGACGACATGAGTAATACTCCATAAATATACAAGTATAGTTACAAAAGAAATCCATGTGAGATTTGCCGATTCTTATTGATATTATTTTACGGCACTGTGTATGTAATACAAATTGTTCACTTTTTATAATATTAAATTATAAGGTTGGAAAATTATACATATAATTGCGAGCGTTTTATTTGATATAACTAATACTTCAGAATTTTAAATCTTAAATTCTAAAGTGTTAATTATATCGAATTATATAAATATCGAATGATGTTCACTTTAGTGGAGGTTTCCAATGACCTTGACTTTGATATATGTTGTGAAGGTTATGACTTGAGTAACCTCCAACCAGTTTTAGCTGTTGCTCATAATTCGTTAAAAAATTATTAATAAAAAGAGTTTGAAAAAGTAACGTCTTATTTCCGCTAGATATAATATTAAAAACTATCCTATATTCTATATCCTTCCTTGATTACGTAATAGTTTTCCATGCAAAACGATTTCCACCCCACCTCTGCCCCTGCTAAAGGATGTTCAATGGGATATATATATTTTTTAAATGTATTGTATATGTAGATATATACATTACTCAACAAAATTAAAACATTACCTGTTCCGTTCTAAATAAAAGTAGACAAATTTCGAGATAGAATAATTTCATCAAAAATCATCGTATCAAAATTTTAAAAAAAGCATTTTAAAGCTTAAAATCTCTACTTTTCAGATACCATTTTTTGAAATACCAAACCAGTACTTCAAAAACGGTACTACTGATATTTCATAAAGTTACACAAACATAAATGAAGATGCATCAGATCTCAAAATTTTTTACAAAATTTGTGAAGTTGCACGGCGCGAAAAAATTAAAAATTGTCCACAAATGTGGTTTATAGCTTTTGAAAGAGTAAATCTTTACCTTCAATTTGGTTTTTTTTATAGATCTCTATACAATTTTTTTCACAGAGTTATTCAACGTTGAAACAAAAATGACCCTTTTTGCTTCAATGTTGAACAACTCGGTGAAAAAAAATCATACAGAGGTCTATAAAAAAGCAAATTAAAGGTAAAGATTCACTCTTTTGATTGATGTAAACCGCATTTTTGTGTTTTACTTCACGCCACAAACCTTTGTAAAATTTTTACATTTGACAGATATCCATTTGTGTTCGTATAGCTCCATAAAGGATCAATCAGATTAAATTATCAATTACCGATTTTGAAAGTAGAGATTTCAAGCTTTAAAATGCTTTTTTAAACATTTCGATGCGATTTTTGATGAAGTTATTTTATCTTAAAATTTGCTTGCTGCTTTTCAACAAAATTAAAGTCATAAATCTCAACAAACAGTCGTGCACCTACTGTTTAGATAAACAATTATAATTTAATTCTGCCAATAACTTTGGCAGTATATAATGCTACATACGGGTTTTGGATCAAATGTAATTTAAAGAAAAATTTGCTCTTAGAAACAAGATGGTCAATTATAATAATATTTTAAAATTAAACGAGAAAACAATCATCCTGTTTACACTCTCGGGGAAATAATTTTACTCCTTTTCAAATAAAAAGTAACATTTCACTTCGTATCAAACAATTTTTCAATCTCGCAATCCGGCATATTAAAGAATAATTTCTTTAAATAGATTTCCTTGAAATTAGATTACGCGAAGGAATATTTAGATGTATCAGGAATTAATATATATTTCTTTTCGCCAGAAACCATTATCACATCTACACGGTCAGAATTCATCGTTATTCTATGTAAGGGCAGAAAATAAAGATAAGACACATCAAGAGTAAAAATAGCTCATGGAATCTATCTGAAAGACACCATCATAAATAATATCTCGGGTAAAGCGTATCTAAATACTATAAGTACGTTGGACAAAGAAATGGAAGTCCTAGTACCAACGCTACGCCTAAAAACCCCTAAATGAAATTTTCGATGATGAAATGGAAATTAAGGAAAAAATTGAAAACAAAATATAACGAGAGAAACTAAAAATTTAAATAAAAATTTTACTATAAATATTTATTGAGAGGAAGATTTCCACATCTTCGAAATCTTAGATTCTAAAATCCTTGGAGAGAGAAGTTACCAAACCCCTCCAAATTCATATAAATCCAAAATCCTTGGAAGGAAAAGTTATCAAATCTCTCCTAAAAATTTAAATAATTTAAATAATTTTAGAATTGCAGAGAAAAGTTTTCGAACCTCCCTGTCAAATTTTACCTGTCGATTGCAAGAAGGGAAGTTACCAAACCTTGCTATGCAATATGATTCCATGTTATTTAAAGGAGTCAAACGAAGAAAGGTCCACTCTCGAAGATTCTGAATCATCAAATGTTGGAATGGAAGAAAATATATTTAGCGAAATGAAGCATCTTACATTAACCCTAATAAAATTTTAACACAATCGCATAATTATAAATCATCTCATGAAATATGGAATCTTTACCGACAATTACACCAACTGGTCCTGACAAAAGATATCTTTTTTAAATTGTTTTTTCGACAAAACTAAAAGATGTCTTTGACAGTGAAACTAATAGACATCTTATTATTTTGCTGAAAAGACTATCCAAAACTGATATTTTTTTCGTCATCTTTTAGATGTCTTTTCTTTGTTGGAAAAACAACTTAAAAAAGACCTTTTTTCATTATATTTTGTAGTATTTTGTGCTGTCTGAGAAAAAAAGAAGAATTTTTAAATTATTATATATCAAAGATATTACGAAAATTGTTTAATAAAACAGTCCAATTTTACAGGTTAGATTAATTATAATATAATAATATGATTTATTACACCAAAAATATTTATTTATTATACAATTTTAAAGTCATTTCCGAATGTTGCGAAAAAAGTGCTACGAAATAATAGAGAAATTTGAAAGGTTAACATTTTATAGTACAATAGTTTTAAATATGCACACAGTGTTTCCAGCAAAAATCGCTATTAAAACTATAAATTTTAACATTAATCGTTATAATTAATATTGATTATTAAATAATGTAATTAGTAAGCGTAAGTTACGTAGTTATATCTAATATCTCACTTTAACGTTACAACGTACAAACAAGTAATAAATCGTTACCCTGTACGTAATGGTAACGGTAATGTATTACTTTTTAAGGCTCCTAAGTAGTCACCACAGCCATATTAAATCGTGACATCAGAAGCGAGAAATGACATGTTAATTTTTATTACGTACCATTTATAAATAAAGACAATTTGAATAAAACAAAATGATGAGATTGCTTTAAAACATTTGTAAAAATGGATAAAAACTATGCTTATTCCCCCTCAATCAGTGAATAATCGTAAAAAGTGATGAAAGGCACATAAAGTGTTTTTATTCAATGCGCATACGTAGCTTATTTTCACTTACACGTGCCTTTATCACTGTTTTCGATTATTTACTAAAACTTCGTTTATTCCATTTTTACAAATGTTTTAAAACAATCTCATCATCTTGTTTTATTCAAATTGTCTTTATTTATGAATGGCAATAAAAATTAACGTGTCATTCTCGCTTCTGATGTCATAATTCAATATGGCTGTGATTACTCAAGAGTAATTTTTAAAATTAGTAAGAATTAGTAACAATAATGTTATTTTTTATAAAAAGTAACGATAACAATAACAGATACTTTTTATAAAGTAACGTTCCCAATCCTTATTACAATATGAATATAAGAATAAATTGATTTACCAGTGCCCTGTTTCTTCAACCAATAATGTACAATATAAACACGGATGCAAAAATATTTCATCCTTATTTAAAACAGATAAACAGATTTAAACACTAGTGTCATCATTTGAAATGTTACATTCTGTCTAGACAAATTTGTCGACAAAAGGACTATCATTCGATCCATATCGTGTTAATGGAAGATCGTATGGGATCGGAAATACTGGAACGTCTGTACCATCTTTTTCTTCTCCAACAGGAAATGTTGTTGTCCCAGTCTAAATACAAACGAGTTTGAGACGTAATAATTAATATTAATCTACTAAAATATATGCTTTAAACATATTTCCATAATATGTATCCATTAATAGTATTAATATGTTGGAAATTAGTAAAATAATAATATGTGCCTACAATAAATTTTGGTATGAATATCACGCCGGCCTCGTAGTTTCCTATACTATAACCTTTGTATTGTTTGGTTGTTCCCCATGCGGCTTTGCTCAGATTTGCGCTGGTGAGCACAAACCAAGGAATGCTTTTCGAATCGGGAGAAATCCTTGTGTAGGATTTAATATTAGGCATCGCACGATCTCGTCCTGTTCGCTTAGCTTTCCATTGACTGTAAAAAAGAAACAAATGTAAAATTCTAGCTGTAGAAAAAACGGATTACTTCTAAAATGTAAAAACCTAAGCGTAATTATTCAAATAAAGTAAAAATAAACAATTGTAACTTACTATAAATGTGATTCTAGCCACTGTTGTTTAGAATGTGTTTCTGCACTGTACGTCAAGGGAGTAATTAAACGTTCAGAATCAAAGCTTTGCTTATAATTCTCTATTGACGGATAAATAAATTGAAAACGCGGCTGATTTTTTAAACCTTTAGAAGTCTCCTCCGACATATTCCAAATTATGTCTTTCAACAACCAATTTTCGAACAAACCAAAGCAGCCTACGCCAGAACTTTGTGCAACTATAGGCCACTGTGCACCTCGCGGCAGTGTGGCATAGCGCGATAGAACGTGTGCCAATTTTCTGTATCCCCAAAAGTCGGCTTCGTCAGCTTTATAAATTCCGGGAACAGAAGCGACGAGAAACACATTTACATCAGAAAAATCCGCCATCTGCACTGCACGTATCCACTGCGTTAAAGCCGGTTGTTCATATTTATTCAGATATCGCTCGAGATCCTTTTTAAAACCCGTTGGAGATTCCCCATCACTAGGTTTTGCGGATTCTGGCAGGTAAGGCAGATGAGGCGAGATCCACAATCTAATCAGGACATAATAAAATGATGTTTATAGACAAAGACATATTTCAATAAGAAATATCTATAAGCGTATTTAACGAACCCTTGTGTCCTGTTTTCCCAATCAACAGGATGCAAGCCAGCAGTAGAGACAATCACTCGAATCCCATTTTTATATTGCAGGATCATGATGTTCGCATGATGACTAGAGAACTGATCGCGCTGGCCTTCTACCTTTATTATAGTAACGTTTTCATTTAATTCCTCATGATATTTTCTATGTTTGCACAGAATTGTCATGTCGGTACGTTGGCCAGCCAACAAATATTGCAAATACAACCATATGGCATCTACCATAAAAGTTAAATGAAGACTGTTAACAATTTCTCCAAGACTACGATCGAGAATCTCAGAGAAAGTTATAGAAAACCGTTGATTATGAGTCTCTTTGGAATTTTCGACTCTCGTGAAAAATAAATGGTAAGGTGCTGAAGAAGCATATTTCTTCGCAAACTTTCCTGTTTTCGCAGTCATTATTGTGTAGTCAATTTGTTCCATCTTCTGAATAGCCATTTTTCTAACTTCTTTCCTTGACATTGCTGAATCAAACACTTGATCTGTATGCATGAGATTTTCCATTCTAGAAGTTATTGAATTTGAGTCTTCTTCGTTATTTTTGCAACTACTTTGAGAATCGCCGATATTTTGTTGACTACTGTTTTTTAGTGAATTAACTACTTTCAGTAAATTAAGTACAAAAATTGTATTTTAGTGAATTAACTACCAACTATCGTAACTACCACAGCACATTTTATTTTGAAAAAAATCCTAAGTTGTTTCAGATTTCTAAATGCAGTCCGAAAGACAACTAAGTAAATAATATCTAGGATATTCCAATAATATCGTAAAATATCTGTTTATATACAGAATCGATATGATATCGCTTCTACGTAACAAAGGAAAGATATAAGTATTGATAAGGTTTGCACAAAGTGTTATCATTTTCTATCATAATATATCTTTAAATAAACAAACTTGGGTCACCGATAAAATTAATTAATTATATATTAATTTTAAAAGTGTAGACGTTCATGGTACACGTTTCGACTTACAAGTAGAGGCTATGCTCTGCTCTTCACCGATTTTGATCAAAATTGCAGCTCACCTTTAATGAATAAATTGCAAATTATAAATGCATTATGTTAACACAATGACGATTATTATAAATTATGTTTTTTTTCTGCACAACCGTCATTATTAAGATCATGCGCTTATAATTTACAATTCATTCACGGCTGAAGAAAACTAACGTCGCAACGCCCACTCCGTGAGTCTATACACTTTTATAAATTAATATATTAATTTTATTAATCACCTAGGTTTGCTGGTTTTTAATATTTGACCTTCATTATTGTTATTGTTTTTGCTTTGCATACATACGAGCAGGAACAAAATTTATCTTTCATACTAAGAATATATCCTCATTTTTATGTTTAATGAAAATATTGTCGTTTGCTATCGTTTGTTTATTCATTTTTTGATGAAAACGAATTCACAATTATATATATGTACAAAAAAGGTAAAAAAGGTGCCAAGTGTACGCACTTATATCTGTGTTCCTTGAAAAAAAAAATTACTTCCTATTGGATTTTATTTTAATTAAAAAATAAAATTATTATATATATACCATTTTGGTTTTATTAGCTAAAAGAAATAAAAAATAATAATTTTTTTAAGAAGAAAAAGTAGGACCACAAGTTTTATTACTTAAAAGTAGTTATTCAATAATAGTATTTTAATGAAATATATTTTCTGTTTATAATTGACGCAATTTAAAGATTTCACATATTTTTTAAAAAATTATTATTACTTTAATAGTTTGAAAAATTGATTTGGAATAAGTTTGAAAGCAATTTTTTTCTTCAAGGATCACATATATGTATAAATGCGTAAAATTGGCGCCTTGTTTTACCTTTTTGTAAAAAAAATAAAATTTTATCTTAATATCATGTATTTTGTATTGTTAAACGTGTAGCAGAACTAATATAAGTTTTTTTACTGTAAAATTTTTTTATTTGAACTAAATTTTTTAAGTTTATATTTTTTCCCTTTTAATTCTTTGTAATTAAATTTTACTGAATTGAAATAGAAAAATATAATATGTATCATTTGAGTAGGAACAGAAAGATCTTTAAATGAAAATAAAAATATATGTAGTACTTTAGATTTTATTTTTAGGAAATAAAAGTTTGTAATAAATTTGGAATATAGTTTTTTTCGATTTTATTTTTTAAGAGAAGTATTGTAGTATGACAATAATGTTTGAAAAAAAAAAAATATATATATATTATGTTTATAATTGATGCAATTTAGAGATTTTATATATAATATTTTTTGAAAAAATTATATATTTGAATTGAATAAAATGATACATTTTTTTAGTATCATCATTTTTTGTATCATTATTTTTTAAATTAAAATAATGAAACAGAAACTTGTATGAACCTTTTAATATTAAATTTTTGTTTGTATGTGCAATAATTCTTTAATAATAAATAATCATTGCGTTTTTAGTTTGCAGACTGAATATTTTCGGTTTTAATTGGTGGTGCAGATGATTGGTGGAAGCTGATGTTACTTGCTAGCTTATTATTACCTGGCTAATGATTTAATAAACACAATACAAACTTTATGAATATTTTTATTATTTTATATCTCAGATATAAAAATGAGTGTCATATAATGCAAGAAACTCATAATTTATAATTCCGGAATAGTATCTTAAATTTCTTTACATTCTACTAGGGGAGGGGGAGGGGAGGGGAAGTAAATATGTTTTTTAATCTTTTAGATGTTATCCAATTGTAAAGTATCCATAAGATATCCATTAAATAAGATATACGTTAGACACTTGTGTGCTAGATATTTTTCTGAATATATGAGATTATCTTAAAATATTAGTATGATTATTGCGATGTTCCAAACATCTGTACTACATCTATTGAATAAATTAAGCGTACTTTGTGGATAGTTGTCTCTGTTTTATCCTTCCCCAATCTATCATTTTCAATAGCTGTTGAATTGGCCACTGTGAACAATTATTACTAGTAAAATAGAACATTTCTCATATATCATTTATATTATTCAGCTGCTTATCAGTTATTTCTCCACTGAAATTAAAGTAACAATTATTAACCAAATAATATAATTACATGTAATAACATAATCAATAATGATATAATTATTAATTACAATTGAGGAATACGAACAGTTATAATGAGGATGTTTTAACATTTCATTCAAATAAATTGGATATTTCCAGTAATATTTCACCATAAAAGGACAATATTTCTTTTCTCTGCCAATGCTAAATAAATATATTATTATTATTCTAAAATCCAAACTCCCTCCTCTTTATCTCCCTCCTTCCCCCTCCCCCCCTCTCTCTCTCTCTTTCTCTCTCTCAAGAAAACATATCTATCAATAGAAAATAAAAGCCTTTAACACCTGTAATCATCATAGAATTCATCATCGTAAATAAGACTGACTATAAGTGAAATAACTTATAAGAGTCTTTTGATAATACGACTTCAATAGTACAAAATCTACTTATTTTATTGTTTCTTTCAAATAACAAAAAAGCGATAAACGCGTGTAATTTCATAAAACATTACTCACTCTAAAATTCCACGAACATACGGATATACTTACATTTTTACGTACTGTAATGGTAGATTACAAGATACGATATCTGCAACTTCTGCATTCTTGAAGTTGAACTTTCTAATAATGATTCAACATTTTAGATAAAATCGCTATATTATTTTTAATTTGTGTATCGGAAATATAATTACTTATAAATATAATGTAATTAATTATAATTATTTCCTAATATTTCTTCCGTTCGACGCTATTACAATTATAACAACAAAAATTTCACAAAGATATAAAATTGTAGAAACGTTTCAGACTTTAGATTTTTTCGATATCTCGAACTGCACGATTCACTTGATTTAATGTGCCTTCTCGACCATGGAAAGATGAAAAATGTCAAAACTAAAATCTTTCACGTGAATTATCAAAATTGGTAAGCATCGTAATAATCGAAAAAAATGATTTACATCGCGATATGTAAATAATGCCCGACAAAAGATTCATCATTGCCGTCAAGGCATACCATTTGGCCAGTCTATGAAAATTAAAGAAATAGATGGATCAAAAATATGTATTTGATGGAAATTCTTTACAATTTGTTGAGTAATATCCAGAAATATTCTTCCAATGATCTAATATTCGACTCTTCAAAGGAATGAATTCCTTCTCTGGCGAAAATAAAGATCGAAGGGTAAGTTTAGTGTAAGAGAAAAGTGACAGTTAAACAAAACTTGCAGGAAGCGTAAATTGTAATAACATAAAAGAAACGTTTATCTCTTAAAACACTTTTTTTCGCTGCTCCAATCTTTAAGCTTTCTAAAAGTTCCTTTATTTACGCTTCTGTTCTCTCTTTATATTTGACTTATATGCTCCGGTTTTTATTTTCATCAAGATTTTGCGTAATTTGCATTTTTCAGAGACGTGTGATTTTGGCACGTGACAATCTTATTGATTGGTACGCAATTAGATATGGGCACATTCTTTGAAAATTCGATGCTTCTTTTTGTGGATGACTCAGAACCCATCTTGCCAACCTTCCGATCCACCGAGTATGCCAATACAGGCAGAGTTGTGGAATTGGCAGACGTCGGCTGCGACACGGAAACTACGTTTCCTGTACATTTTTCACGTGATGTGTTTGATCGACGTCGCGGAGGAGCTGAAAACCTCGGATCGACTCGCAGAATCTCTAAATGGCTCAATAACAGACCGAATAAATTTACTCGAAGAGCTAGCGACATAAATAATGATGATGTAAGCAAATGCGATAGTAAACCGACACTTCAGATATCCTGGAAATTCCATTAGCACGTTAATAATTATTAGAAAAGTTATTAAAAATATATCTAAATACAAGTTTTTATTATTTCAGCTTACTATTATAATAAAAATGTATACAGAAGAAAAACAATAATATATTTTTAGAAAGTTTATTTTAAAATGTATACATATCTTCTTGTTGATCGTAGGATAGAAATGGGAATTATATTCGGAGGAAAATGCGGCAAGACATTCGCAATTACGATGACGAGCCTGATGCGGATTTCAACAATTTGTATACGGAGAATTCTTATGATGATTTCGAACTATCGAAAAACGATTTTGCAGCTGAAGAAGATAATTATACCCAATTTGTAAATCCCCAAAATGCAATTGCGCGTTCTTATAGAGAACGTGTCTCGCAATATGATTACTTGAGAGATCTCGAGTCTCCATTTATGCAAAGTATTCACATACCTTTAAGGAAGAAGGTTTCTCCGCAATGGCTTGCCGAGAGCGACAAAAAGAATCTCGACACCGATATTCAATCTGGCGAACGCAAAAAACGAACAAAAATCCTTTCGAGATCCAACAGAAGCTTCAATCGCAAGGATGGTACGTTTTCTGAAAATCGACAAATGTTAAACTAATTGCAGATATTTGCAGATCCATTTGAATTCTGCCATTATTTTCAATTACACGACAGTATTGTAAAAAATTGTTTATAACAAATGCTTTTTATAACCTTGCATAATTTTAAGTTATGTAAATCTTATTCCTTGGATTTTTAAAATAAAACAAAATCGTTCAATTATGTTAATTTAAACAAAGATATATTAATTAAAAATGCACTGGACAATATCAGTTAAAGAATTTTGAAGCAAATACCAATTAAGAATTATAGATGGTCTCTATAATATTAATAAAAAAATTCTATTGATTTCTTGTAATTTCATCGTTTACTTCTTGCAGAACTTGAGCAGTCTCGCGATACAGCGATGTATCGTGAACAAGATAATCTTCCCAATGTCGTTGATCCCGTCATGCCTTCAAAACAAATGTTTTGGGATTTCATTTCATTTGAAAACGATTCGGAATGCGAAGGAACAACTTTTTACAATCCAACGAAGACAAAAAATCACAGCGGGTTGCAAAAAATGGCGCCGCTTAGGAGAAGATCGTACATCTTTAATTCACAACCAAAACGCAAAGATGTTGTTGATTCGGAAGAAGAAGAGTTCAATGAAAGGATTAAAAAAAATAGCCGAGAGAACTTGTCACCCAAGATACCAATAAATAGCAAGAGGTATGGAACTTTGAAAGGTGACGCGATGAAAGAGAAATCCAAGATTTTGCAATTAAATACACCGAACGCGAATTCTTCACGAGGTCAATCAATAAGGACATCCGTTGATGAACAAATTTCGAACATGTATTTTACAGCAAAAGGTAAGAATTGTAAAGAAAAATTATTAAAAATACACATTTTTTTCTTCTTTATACTCTCCTTTTCTCTTATCTTTTTTACCGACGGCGTTGTTTGTAAGTAGTTCGCACAGCACCGGCAGATATCTCTACAATTATATAATTTGTCGACTTCATTGATACTTCCTAAGTACTAAAAGTGAGCAAAAATTTCGCATAGATATCACACGAATTTTCTTCAGTAAATATTTTTAAAATATTATAATACTTTCAGATTAATTAATTCTTTATAATTGACATATCTAATCTCATGATGTAAAATCTCACTCGAAGAGACTGAAAATTGAACCAATCTTAAAAAAAAGAGTGAAAAGAGTAAAAAGTCTTGTTCAAGAGTGGTAATATTTTTACTCTTTTTTAGAGTGAGATTTATTCTTTTGGAACGAGATTCACTCCAAAGGAGTGAAATCTTAATCTCTTTTTTGGTGTGAGGTTTATCTACCCTGGTATTACACTCTGAAAAAAGAATTGAGATTTCACTCTTTTGGAGTGAATCTCATTCCAAAAGAATAAATCTTACTCTAAAAAGAGTGAAGATCGGTCACTCTGAACAAGAGTGGTAGTGTTTTCACTTTTTTTTTCAAGATCTCAATTTTCAGTTTCTTCGAGAGATTTCACTCTATTTAAAAAGTAAAATATTTAGAAATTTAGAGAGTAATATGCAAATTATGTATATAGAAGAAAATATATTAAGTTTCTACATCATTGATTATTAAAATAATTACTAAAATATAAGTAAAACAATTATTAACATTTCAATTAATTGCCATGTGTATTCAATTAGATATAATAATAAACCTAACAGATCCAGGACGCGGCGTGTATCAATTTGAAACATGTTGCGTTATTCACTGCCAGTATTAAAGATTTATAATTAAAATAATTAATATATATCAGTTGGAGATGATCAAATTATTGGACAAAATGATAAAAATTTTAAATATTAAGTTTTAATGATATTTACGACTCTAAATAAATTTGTCTCGTTAAATTTTTACATATAAAAAATTTATTTAGAGTTGTACATATTGAAAGCTTAATATTTAAAATTTTTGTCATTTCGTCTAATAATTAGGTCATGTTGACTATCCACTAACTAGTATGTTTACCTTATACGTTTACCTTATAAACTATAGATTTGCATTATTGGCAATATATATCGGGCATGTCCTATATACACATACACATTTGTTACACTTACTATTATTTGTATATGAATCGAGAATACTTTGCATTGATTTTATATATAGTGTAATACGAATTAAAGAGGAATCAAAGAGTTTGCGGGTTATCGCCGTATCGTAGTCCATTGCTAATATCAACTTTGCCATTCACTTCAGAACAAGAAGCGCATGTATCAGTGCTCCTGACAAAGTGAACGGTAAAGATCGCGAAACGGCATTAGCAATGGACCACGACACGGCGATCTCCCGCAAACCCTTTGATATCTCTTATAGAAAATATCCGCCTCAAAAGTATTATGAATGAAAGAGGTCTATTAATTTAGCCAATGATTTTTATTTATTAAAAAAATATTTTATTAGAAAATCTATTTTAATGCAAAATAATTTACTAAAAATTATAATATAAAAATTTTACAAATCTAAAATATACACAATAATATGTATTTACATTTATACACGCGGCATAAAAATGATATTTATTATCTTTACAAATATTTTGAAAAACATTAAATTTTAGGTCATATTCTTGATCAGTTTACACTTATTTTATAAATATTAAACACAAAATAGTACGGCATTAAAATACAAAAGTCCATGTAGTAGTAAAAATAATGTAATAGATTAAGGATGTTTTTTTACACCGCATTTTTTTAACATGCTTGTGCATGTCATTTTAATCTTATCATGTTGTATCACGAAACAGAAATAAATATTTTACTAATTTATTTATTTATTTGCAAGTTATACGTTTTTTTATAGATTCAAATAACATGAGACCGCATTCAGCAACCGAAGGGAAGAGAAATAAGTTTCTGACGACTGAGAGGAGAGAAGAAATTATAAATACAACTGGAACGACTGTTGACAATCGTCAATACTGCGACAAATTTGTTAACAAGCTTTCCAATAATTCTCCCAAGAAAACTAGTCATTTGACAAGAATGTTCAATCGTATCGCAGACTTATCGAATAATGAACGGATAAAAATAGAAAACGAAAGAGATAACATAAATTCTCATCGCGGAAATACTAGAAATAGTAAAATGGATCAGATTGATGTGCCTATCTCGCGATTGACACCAGAGAAGATAACACAGAATGAAAAGACATTTGCTTTAAAAATGACAAATATTTCTGTACCGCACTTGGATATAAAAAAAAAAAAGGAAAGGAAGTTCTTCTCTAGATTACCCATAAGAACATGGAAACGCTTGAGAACAAAAGAACCTTCCATATTGCGTTCTGAAAGCGACGCAACAAACAAAGATAAGGTAAATGTCCCAATAACTGAATAGTTATTGAAAAATCAACATTTATTTGCAATTATAAAGATATTTGTTAATAACATTAAAAAAAAGAAGATAAATATTTTGT